AGTGATGAGGTAAGTTTTATATTACTTTTGCTATTAAAGTAAGAGAGTAACAAAAGAGTAACAAAAAAGTTGTTAAAAGCTGTTCAAACAGACTGAGTTATACAGAGTTTCTGCTTCATACCAGCACAGCTCTCTCAGGCCACACGTGCGTGACATCAAGTGTGCATGCAGGGCTAGCGCACAGAGGATCCTTTCTGTTTCTGGGTGCGTGTCCACAGGTGTACGCGTGCAGAGCCCAGGGGCTCCACTCCTCCTCCAACTCTGAGAAACAGAGTAGATGAAGGAGAAGGAGAGAAATCACCAAGGGGAAAAAAACAAAAACTATGGAGTAATATATTAAGTGCAAGCTTTGAAGTTTGCCGTGTGAATTCCTCGCCAGCTGGTGTGTTGTTATGTAATTAAAAAAGCGGCTGAGAAGAGCGACGTGGTAACGACAGCGTGGACCTCTGAGTCATGCTCCTCTGTATTAAACAACACTTGCAGGGGGGTAGAAAGAGGAAGAGAACTTCAAAAGACTGGACGAGGGAGGGGTGGGGGTGGGGGTGGGTAAGGGGGGCTAGCAGGAGTGAAAGTCTTCTTGAGTGAGAGTGATGATGGTGTATGCTAGCAAAACTCACTCCATTCAGCTTTCAGAGGAGTAACAAACTGAGTTATGTTCCAACATTTTACAATAACTGCAGCTTAATGCTCCAGCTGAATTAATACGTTCGTGTCGCACTGTTATATTCAAGAATATTCCTGAAATAAAGCTCAAACATCATATTGTTAGATCACGTGTGAATGGGAAAGCGCAATAATCAATACTTGAGTAAAAAAAGGTGTGAAGAATAAAATAAAGCCTTTCGAAAAACACTGGCACTGCTACTAAATGAATAGTTGAGGGAATTATAAGGTTCAATCTGCATTCTGAGCGGTTTTGAGATATTGAGCTTCATAGTTTTTTGCACTCCAAATAGCCAAACGTATGTGGAACAGGGTTTCTTTCATACAATGAAAATAACAGACATTGGATATACAATATCAAAATCCTATAATTCTTGGAATATTTGAAAAAGTTAAATGCAGATAGAACCTTGTAACCCTGAGAACTTGCTTTCTGCTTGAAATTTATATGGTTCTATCTTGCAAAACATTGAAAACAAGCAATGATTTTCAGTTTACTCATGATTAGTCATAATTAGACATTTATTTCTTGTTTTATGATGAATATTATGTTAGATTAGATAATTAAGACACATTAGATGTAGGAATTAGATATATGATTTAAGTTCTTTAGGTTATACAGCAAAGTAGATATAGCAGTATAAATGAATGGAATTAGTGTTTATCGTGTGCCTAAGACCTCATCAATTAAAATGTTGACTATCTAATTACCTACAGGTATTATGTGGCTAGCATGCTAGCATGCTAACAGTGAAAATAAACTCCTCAGCAAGATCTGAACAATTGAAAAAGACTGAACTTGCATTTGCACTGCTGTCCTTTCATTGACAATTTTCTCATCTCCACTAGTTTTCTGTCTTGTCTGCCCCTTTTCCCGCTCACTGAAAAGTTAGGTGACCTGACAGAATGCAGACAAGATCACCAATCAGCTTCTGCTTTCTCAAAGCGCTGATTTACTCAAATAAAACCAGTTAAATAAAACCAAAAGTAATTAGACTATTGGAGATAAACATTTTGTATATTTAACATAAAGAAGATATCAAAAAAATAGAAAAAAACATAGACACACTCAAATATTGAAATAAAACAGAGAATGATAAATGGGGAAAAAAAATGTGAAAGAAATTTTGACAAAAATGTCCAGATAGAACTTGAAATAATAATAATATAATAATTCCAAGGAGACAGAATGTGCATCAGATGGTTGTAAGCTCAGACATGTGAATGTTGGGTTGTGAACCAGCACAAATGCCACCTGCGTGCAGCAGCCGGCCATGTTGACTCAACATTGTCATGATTGTCAACTTATGAGGTGGCACAGTTGTTAATAAGCTTTCGTCATGTACACATCCAACAGACATGAAACAACAGCATTCATTCCCAAATATTTCACTTCTTTTTAATTCCTCTCTTTTAGCTGGGTTTGTCTCCCAACTCCCTGAGGGAAACGTCTGGCTCTATAGCTGCTCCACTGATGTCGCGGTTCAACTGTGAGCTAGTTCCGTCCCTGGCTTTTCTCCCTGTGTGTGTAGTTGCTGTGGCCGGTTTTCCCCTAACCTGGCTCTGGAGCCCCCCTGCCCCAGCTCAACTCTCTCTCTCACTCAGTCCATATTAAATGTTCTATATTAAACCTCCTTTTGATTCCCAGTGTCGGATTTGGGTCCAGAATAAACTTCAAAAGTGACCAACAATGTAGACATGACTCCACTCAGGCACACACCTCTATCTAATTCTCCTCCAGTCAGTGAAGAAAAGCCTCCTCTCCTGAACCTCCTCTGCAGGCTGTTCAAAGCCAGATAACATCACATCTCAGAACCATTTATGACCATCGGTTTTATGTGGGAGTTTTTTATTTCAGTTAGTTCTTATATATTTTATACTTAGTCACCAGTTAGAGCATATATCTTCTCTACAGTATAGCACTCGAGTATCTTTTGTTATGGGGCTCCTTGCCAGTAGAAATAGCTCAGTCTGGCTACTGCCTCTTTTGGAAAATCAACCAAATCACCTCTTCGATTCTTATTCTCCGTTCTCAGCTGAGTTGAGAAAAAGTTTTGATCACCCTGTTCAAGGGAAGGAGGTTTCCAGTAAGCTTCTGCTCCTTGCATCAGGTGCAGGGTAACAGAACTGTATAGATTGGATTCTACTGAATTCAGGATTTTGACTGCTGAGAGTGGGTAGGATGAACCTCCTTACAGGAGTTTTCAGACATGGGTTAGCAGAAGATATGATGGATGAGATTGCCTGCTTGAGATGAGACTGATATCTCTGACTCTCATTTCCCTAGCCACCATTAAGATAACTGCCTCACAGAGAAGGTCATAAGGGAAAAATCTAGCCCGGCAGCAGCCTAGGCCCCCTCCAAGGTGCTAGCCCACATTTAGGTACCCAGCAGCAACCTCTCCATCCTGTCCACCATTGCTACAGTGTTTTCCAAACGCAAACCTCAGTAAACAAGCTTAATCACCTTATTTCGTGAAGCCTTCAATTGGACATTTTGGAGTATTTGTAATGCTTGGTCGGCTTCCTTGCAGTGTAGATAGGTGTGCCACTAGTGAATTAATATCACACCAGGCCTGACTGTCAACCACACCTCTCTAGCAGACTACCAGTTACAAATAAACCACAGCCTTCCTCATGATTTGACACCTACATCATTCATATGAGAAAACTGTGGGTGAAAAATGATATTTCCTTGCCATCTTGAATTTTTGAGTGGCTAATGTTTTTTATCAAAAGAGTAATACCCAGGAAAGATTTGTGCCAAGTTTAGTACCTGTATCCACATTTGAAAGGTTTCTCCTGAAATATGCAGTTATCTGCTGTGGTATTGTAACATTGACCCAAAATGTTGACCTGCTGCTAAACCTGCTAAAATGTACTATAATTAATAATGATTATTATTAGTGTTATTAGCTGTAATTACTATTTTTATCAGTAGGTGCAGTACGGTTGCCACTACATTACTATCTCTGTTACTTCCGCTACTATCACTATTATTAATATTGCTATCACTGTATGTTTTTGTTCTTTTCCTCTGTGCTCTCTCTTGCTCTCTCTCTCTCTGTCTCTCAACCCAACCAGCCGAGGCAGATGGCCGCCCACCCTGAGTCCGGTTCTGCTCTGCTTCTTAAAAGGAAGCTTTTTCTTGCCACTGTCGCCTAGTGCTTGCTCTTGGTGGGAATTGTTGGGTCTAAATAATAATATTATAAAGAGAAGGTCTAGACCTGCTCTATTTGGAAAGTGCCTTGAGCTAACATATGTTGTGAATTGGCGCTGACTTGACAATCAAGGAGCGACCGTGGGTGTCTACGTCATCGTTTCCAGAGGTGTCTGCCTCCGCCACTCAGGCTACTCAGATCAGGTTACATCCCTGTTTATCCAGAGTCATAGAAAATATGAACCATTTGTGTGAAATTTTGTCACAATTGCTGTGTGAAGTCTTGAGTAATAGCTAAAAAGTGTTTTCTGAGGTCACCGTGACATTGACCTTTGACCACCAAAGTCTAATCAGTTCACCCTTGAGTCCAAGTGGAACGTTTGTGCCAAATTTGAAGAAATTCCTTCAAGGCGTTCTGGAGATACTGCGTTCACAAGGCCAAAACCACGTTTTGTGAGGTCACTGTGAACTTGACCTTTGAACTTTGACCTTTAGCCACCAAATTCGAATCAGTTTGTCCTTGAGTCTAGATGAACGTTTTTACCACATTTGAAGAAATTCCCTCAAGGCGTTACAGAGATATTGCGTTCAAACGACCAAAACCGTGTTTTGTGAGGTCACCGTGACCTTGACCTTCGACATTCGACCACCAAAATCTAATAAGTTCATCCTTGAGTCCCAGTGAATGGTCGTGCCATATTTCAAGAAGTTCCGTCGAGGCCTTTCTGAGATATCATGTCCATGAGAATGGGATGGACGGACGGACAACCTGAAAACAATATGCCTCCAGCTCTGACTGTCGCCGGCGTAAAGGCATAGAAATCAGATAGTACAATAAGATAAGGGCGAATTGATGGACAATGAAAGTAGACAATAAAAAGACAGTAGATGATAAAATATGCAAATGACAATTAAAACCAGAAACCAGTAAGAATAGTAAAGTACGAGATAATTAATTAAAAGCCAAATTAAATAAAAAGGTTTTCGTCTTTTTGTCTTCATCGTTTAAAAATGTTCACTGAGCATCTCTTACAGCTCTTGGCAGGGTTGTAGTTAAAAAAGCAGCGCAGCCTATTTTCTTTTTTGTGAAATTGTGTGTATTTAAAAGCCTGGAGAAGAACATCTGAGTGTATGTGTGTTGATGTTTGTCGCTCCTCTTCCTGCCTCTGTCATATAGAAACTGTGATTCCAGTGACTGTACTGACCCCAGTCCAGACCACCAACAGCACTGATTTCCTGAACACAAGTACGTATGGTGTGTGTGTGTGTGTGTGTGTGTGTATTGGTCCAAGCATCCACACAACAGTCAACAGGCTCCATGTTTTGAATTGGTGTTAGCCTGTTTTATTCAGTGCTTTGTTACAGAGACACTGTGAAAAGCCTGGTTTTCATATTAAGACTTCTCCCTTCCCAACATGCTGAGAGCTGCTGCACCAGGTCTGTCAGAGACACAATGAAACACAGAGACGGCCTCCCACTAACATTTGATTTGCTTTTTACTTTCCATTTTATTGCTCTCCTGCTGCTCAGCACCAGCCAGAGAATGTGATCGTTCTTTCACTCAAGCAAAGGATACAGCAGGAGAGGAGAGTGTCTCAACCCCGCATCCACTGTGTAGAGAAAACCTTTTAATCCATACTCTCAATCATACTTTCATGTTTTAGAATGGGCCTGTCGGTTTCAAATGGACACTCTCTCTTTTAATCAAAACCACTGAGACAAAGGGGAGGGAGCCGTGAGCCGTGAGATGCCACCTGTGGAAGAGTGTAGAGCCTGAAATACATTGCATTCCAATGTAGCTGCTGATCCAGGTCTTTTCTGTTCAACGTACCATTCAGTGCCTGTATTCATGCACATGTTGAGCAGATTAAAATCACTTTTTTGCGTCTCACAGCTTCCTCCCTCTTTTTTTCTGAATACTTAGACTGACCCGTCTGGGAAGACTTGAACTCTGATTCCTTTAATCAAAACAAGCCAGGATTTCATGGCTTCCTCCTGTTTCTCCTTCTTCTGCTGGGCTGTAAATATTTAACTCTTGCCACGAGCTGCAGAGTGATAGTGAGAAGTGTTAGGTTATAGCTGCCACAATATACCTGCTTCAATATGATTGGGTGTTGGGCAGTCAAAATATGCGGGCCCTTAAGCTGTTACAAGATGTTGAGGTGTAGGATGAAGACTAAGGTATGCTGATACTTATTGCTTATCCTTTTTGCCCTCCCCCACCCCGACAGATGTAGACAGCTGTGAGAAGTGGCTAAGCTGTAAGAATGACTTCCTCCAGAAGTACCTGCACCAGGTGCTCACAGAGCTGCCTAGCTGCCCCTGCTCCTACCCCTCTGAGGCTGTTTACAGCGCAGTCAATATCCAGGACACCAAACTTCACAAGACCTACCGTTGGAGGGATGCAAGTGGACCCAAAGAACGTCTGGACATCTACAAGCCTTCAGCCAGATTCTGCATCCGCTCAATGCTGTCGTACGACAGCACAACGTTAGCGGCACAGCACTGCTGCTACAATGATCAGATGAGACTGATAACAAGAGGGAAAGGAGCTGGAGCACCAAACTTAATCAGCACAGAGTTTTCACCAGATCTGCATTACAAGGTGGACGTACTACCTTGGATCCTGTGCAAAGGGGACTGGAGTCGGTTTCACTCAGTAAGGCCGCCCAATAATGGGCTGGAGTGTGCAGTTAACCCACCTGAACAAGTGTTTCAGATGGAACTTAAAGAAGCCAGGGAGTACTGACACTGTGGGAGTGTGGGGTCGCAACGGGGAGAGGATGACAGCAGATGGAAGCTGTGCTTTGTAATTCAAAGCACAATTTCTCCTGCATATCATCAGCATCCTGCATGAGCACAAAGAACTGACCTGGATTGTTAATACAATGTTTGTGTGAAATGGTCCTTGCTCCAGACTGAGTAACTTTGGTTTAAATAAAAGGACATGACATTCAAATCATATATAAATATGAATAGAAGACATGGACAACAAAGACTGGTGAATATTTTTATACTTATATGTAGACTATGTGTTGAGGAATGAAATAACACTGGTGCTAGAAAATCAGTGCTGTTTTCAGCTGATCCTCATCCCTGTATGTTGCTGCTACTCTGTTGGGATGTGCTGAGATAAATGTCTGATGGCACTTGTGTGCAGTGTGTGTTTGTAAGAGTGTGTGTGTGTGTGGGAGTGTGTGTTCGTGTGTGTGGAGGATGAGCTTATTTATTGGCCCCTTTAATCAAATTTAGTGTCCCATGAAAGATTTCCTGTCAAGCTGCTAAACAGGGAATAAAGTCAAATGGACTATTGGACAATAAAATGTCTACATGTTCATCTTTACAAAACATCTGTACACAGTAGCTACATGCCACATGCTCCCACAGCAGGAAAACACACTGTTTTATGTTACATATAATGCAAAGTAAAACCTTGAGGTAAAAGTAACATCATCTGATTTCACATCCATGTTAGCATATCCTACACTAACCTAAAAAAAATTTTACATGCTGCTACATTTTAAAATGTTATATCATCTTAATGTCTACCATCCAAACTGAGAGGAAAAAATTAAATTTCTACATCCCAATGAACACCATATTTGCTGGTGGGAAGCCAGTGAGGGATAAGGTCAATGTTGCTGCACTGGCAACTCCACCTTGTTGATCAGGGCACCTCTGTGGAAGGGGGTGGGCTGTAAGACTGAGTATAGAGAGCTGAGGTGAAACTGCAACTTCCAGAAATAAAAACTTAATTAACATTTGCAATAATGTGAATGATTTAAAATCCAGCCCCGGCCTGTAACATGAAACACAACATGATGGAAGCAGCCTCGCTGCAATATGGCTGCATTTATATAGTTTCACACACACACACACACACACACACACACACACACACACACACACACACACACACACACACAGACAGTTAGTTACTATGGACTATGGACTAACCCATTTATTTTGCAGCCTTGCTGTACGTTTGCTGTTCATGCACCTCAGATGAGTCATAACAAAAGATAAATATACTTACTAACTACAGAAATCCTTTATTTTCTCACCATCACATCATTATGTCCTATGTGGTGTAAATCTTTGCTATTTTTGAATTTAGTCTTAGTCCTAAGATCCTTAGTTTTAGTTTAGTCAACTTCATCCTTTTCATTTTTAGTCAATATTTAGTCAACTGAAACTTTTCAAAATATTTTAGTCTTGTCTTACTGGTCTAGTTTAGTCAAGACCAAGAATGAGCATTTCAAATTTTAGAAAAATGCTTTCAATTAAGATCCGACTAATTTTAGGTCAAATGAAAACAAAAATGAAAATAAGCCTGAAAGTGAGAGGTAGTATGATTAAGAATGGGGTGTGTGGTCTGGTCTAACTATAACTGGAGGAATCTCTGTCTGTATTTAACTCTTCAACCACCGATCATCATCGACTCCAGACTTGGTGGGTATGCTGCTGAGGACCAGAGGGAGCTCAGTGTTGGCTGTTAAGTTTTTTCAGTGAACACTTCCTGAGAAAACTTCAAACACTGTGTTTCTGCATGTTACTGGAAGTGAAGAAAAAGGCGGAGCTACACTGTGACAGCTCTTCCTGGTCCAACAGTAACAAACAAGATGGACATACACACTGAGTGTAAGCAATGAGCCCTGTCGACACCCACATTTTGAACAGGCGCTGCACAAGTGTTACTGATTTAATCAATATATCCAGACATGAAAGACGATGAAAATATTGAGCTAACTTCCAGTATGAGTCAATCATTGCTGTGATCTTAACTTTCTGTTTGGTATCCCTAACCCTGAGTTTCCAGGAAAAAGAAAGCCCACACAATCATAAAGAGCCCTGTCCAACAGCCCTGCCACAAATCCTCTACAAACCATCATAATGTTCAGTTTTATATTTAATATATTTTTTAATCATTGTAGCAGCTGCAAGTGGAGACAGTGACATTTTAGTGACATTTTCTGTATTTAATTAGAAATTAATTTATAATGAACGAGAAATCCAACATTCCAGTAACCTGCAAACTGTCCAACAGACCTTGACCGTCCACATCTTCACACATTCACTTTTGGCAACATTATATTTGAAATGTCAACCCGTTGTTTCTGTCTTAGCCACACTGCTGCCATCACCTTCTTCTCCTGTCACCGGATGTTTTCCAAGCTGCATGGCTGTACAGGCTGTTACTGCTGGCAGTGCATTCACAGGTGCACTGCTATCCAAAGCCACCAGGAAGATGATTCAGGTGCACAGGAAGAGGAATGTGAAGCACAGCCATCAAATAAAAGAAAAGTCTTTTTTATTTTGTCTATATTGACATAGTTCATTAAGTTTTATTTTTTAACTCCATTTTAGTCACCTCTTTTTTTTCTTAGTGATATTGTATAGAGATTAAATCACAGTTATTTTTAATGACGTCAGTTTTGTTTGGTCGGTATTTTGTTCTGTAAATAATGACATGCTTTTTCCAAGCAGAAAACACACACACACTGTTTCATCCTCTGAATGTGTTGGTTTAAATACTGTACCATGCACCAGTGTTTCCCAACTCTTTCAAAACTATTATCTGTACTCTGTCATCCCCACTGTGAGAAGCAGCCTGTGGCTCAACATAACCTAGTAAGGTTACTGTGTTGATTTTAACTCATCCTCATCCTCTCTTAGTCTCCTCTGCTTGTTTGCCCTCAGTTGTTCTGTTGAGGAGTCGCCCTGTGTTGAAATATTTTCCTTCAAAGGTAGACCTGGAGTGCTCTGACAGAGCGGGCTGTGAAAGAGAAGGTGAAAAGTGAGACAGTGTTGACGGAGGAAAATGACACTGATTGGTGTGTGTGTGTGTGTTTGATTTGAACTGAAATAACATGAAGCATGAACTTGATGCAGTTTCCCTCTTAGTTGTGTTTTATTTTACAGTAAATGGAAAATTAAATAGTGTAGAGGAATGTGCAAAGAGGAGCCACAGGAAATTGTTGATAGATAGACCCCCCCCCCTCTTGTCCTTGTGTGAGTCTGTGTATGTGGTAGTCAACAATAGAGGGGAAACAGAGACTCTCAGTAAACATAGGGAGCTTTTTAAGTGTCCTCCTCCCTCCTGCTGTTCTGAGACTTGCTGGATTCTGACACTAACAGCATGTTGCTTTAAGAACTTCATCCTGTTGGAGGTTATGGGGGTTTTGATTGATATTGAGGGCCTGTTAGAGACAAACCATCGTAGCCAGCTTTGATGGAATAGATGATGTGCACAGGAAGTTTGCTCGTCTGTCCACAGTCACAGAAACATGTGCAGGTTGTTTGCTTTCTCTCTTTTTGTCTGTCCATCTGTCAGTCTGTCTCATTGTGGATATGACAGGGCACACCAATCCCCTCTTGACTGTCAGTGTCTCTGATTACCACACATTACATTAAATGCAAAACAAACACACGAAAACATGATCAAATGTGACTCATACATATATTATTTCCATCTCTATGCAGGCACACACAGGCTCACAGTGTGATGTCAGCAACACTGGAAAAAACAACTTTGCAGTTCATACACAACTAAAACTATACAACCTGTCAAAGTGGAAACATTCTTGGTTCTGTTGAATGAAAGATAGTTCAGTTATAAAAGAACTTCAGTGTGGATTGATGTTTTTAATGTATTGAAATGGTTTTAGCCTCAACCCATCAGATTTGTGAGCTCAGTTTTCACTCTGTAGTTAAAGCCTGAAAACGTCCAGCGAACCAGTTCAGCCTGATCAGCTGTTGATGTTGGACCAGTGAAATGTGGGAACTATTTAGCTGATAACATGGCTCTCAATTCACTGTCAGCTTATTGTAGCAAGAGGAACCATACTTACTGATCGTTGAAGCTTCTCTGGTTTGATAATCCACTGTTAGCAGCAGGGTAACAGCTAAGGGACCTGGAAACATTAGCTGGTTTGGTTTGGGTTTGTTTGGTTTGGTTTGGTTTGGGTTGTTTGGGTTGGCTGGTGTGTTTTGTTTGGGTTGGTTTTGTTTTGTTGGTTTTGGGTTTGTTTGGTTTGGTTTAGATTGATTTGGTTTTAGATAGGATGGGATGGGATGGGTTGGTCTGGGTTGGTTTAGGTTTGGGTGGTTTGGTTTTGGGTGGTTTGGTTTGGGTTAGTTTTGTTTGGTTTGGGTTGGTTTGGTTTGATTTGATTTAGGTTGGTTTGGGTTGGATTTGTTTGGTTTGGATTGGTTCGGTTTGGGTTTGTTTGGTTTAGTTTGGTTTGGTGTGGTTTGGGTTTGTTTTGTTTGGTTTGGTTTGGTTTGGTTTGGTTTGGTTTGGGTTGGTTGGTCTGTTTTGTTTGGGTTGGGTTGGTTTTGTTTGGGTTGGGTTAGGTTGAGTTGGTTTGGTTTGGGGTGGGTTGGTTTGGGTTAGGGTGGGTTGGTTTGGTTTGGTTTTGTGTGGTGTGGTGTAGCTTGGTCTGGTCTGCTCTGGTCCGGTCTGGTTTGGTTTAGTTTGGTTTTGTGTGGTGTGGGGTGTGGTGTAGCTTGGTCTGGTCTGATCTGGTCTGGTCTGGTCTCGTTTGGTTTGGTTTAGTTTGGTTTTGTGTGGTGTGGGGTATGGTGTAGCTTGGTCTGGTCTGATCTGGTCTGGTCTGGTCTCGTTTGGTTTGGTTTGGTCTGGTTTGTGTGTAGCTTCAAACTTCTGCCCTCCAGCCAATTGGAGGCAACATATTTATTTTATTAATTGTATTAATTAATACATCATGATTAAATCTGGAAAATGATCTAAAACAAAGGTCTTCAACCTTTTCACGACCTTATCAGCTGGTGATCCATGTCCAGATGATACAGAGCCAAAACTGCAGCCTCTTTCAGTTTAAACTGGACCATGACGTGAGATTCTCCCCCTGTGCCATTGTTTTCGTTCTTTCAGAAGAAGCTGCTGATGAACATGAAAAAAAATGAAAAATTTTATCTTGAGATCTAATAATCTCTAAGAGTAAACATGAAGTCTGCACTTGTGTTTGTTGTAGTTCATGTTTTATTTATGTCACTGTGTCTTGTCAGTGCTGCATTATGATACTCAGCCACCAGTCAATCACTTGACATCCACAGGATTCAACCCTCCTGCAGGATGTCGTTACTGAAAACATGCTGCCATTCAAACATCTGCATCACATCCATGTCATCTTATTAATCTTAACTCTCCGGGACAGACGCCCATGTCAAATAAGTGTATTATGTTCACATTTATGTTTTCCAGATGACAAACATCAGGTAAATGTTCGAAAATCTCATCAGCATGGATGTCGACACATTACGAAATGTAACCTCAAGGAATAAAGGGATGAAACTAATTTAAAGTGAAACTCACAGTTTCTGGTTCAGTTCCTTGTCGTTTGGCAGCATTTTAGTACCAAAGATATAATACATGCCTTCCATGCCTAACAGCTGAAATCGATCCTCTTTTTAGTACCAGGAATCAAAACACACA